GAACATTACATTTTATAGCAAAATGATTAGAAATACATTTTATTGTAGAGTGACGAACATTACATTTTATAGCAAAATGTTCAACAATATATTTTATCTGCAGTAGAAGGCATATCAATGCGTTCAAAATATTCAGATTTCGGCATTAAATAACCCAAATAGGTTGATATATCATAAACAAAATCAACCAACTAAGTCGTTCTATGAGACTTCTGATTGAATTGTGTGACATTTTAGTACTTACAGAATGTAGTGAAGAGATCTATTGGCGCACAAGATCCTTCTTCTTTTATGTACAGTGTCCCTTCTGGACGTAGACGATCATGGCTCTCCACATCTCCCTATGCCTTATAGTTCTCAATATTTGTCATTTTGTTACTTCTCCCAAACACTGTTCTCTCATCTACTTGCTTAAGTATGTCACGCGTTGCTTTCCTTTATCTCGCTATCCGCTCTGTGAGTATCAGATTCTCCAAGCCCTCCTTTCTCATTACGTGTCCCAGAAATTTCAGCTGCTTCTTCCTGATGCTTAATAATAAGCTTCCTTCTTGTTTGGATCCTCTCCAAAACCTCATCGTTGCTTAGATGGTATCCTTAGCATCCTTCTGTAGAAACATACCTCCGTTGCCTCGAATCTCTTCTTCATCTTTGAGGGGACCGTCCAACATTCGCTGCCATAAAGGAGGACAGATATCCCGTAGCAGTCCAGTACTCTTTTCTTTGTTGTCAATGAAATCCTCCTGCCTCATAATACTCTGCCTAGCTTTTTGAATGCGCCTTTGGCCATCTCAATATATCTCAGCGTCGCATTTACTGTTCTCTGTCAGTACACTTAGCTGTACCTCTAAATATTGGGAAGTTATGAAAAGATATCTAGACGTCATGACACAATTTCTTTCCAGTCTATTACCGGCATATTTCGGACTATGTATCAATTATTTACATTATCATTCAATGCAGGCAATTAAAATATACGTGTGTAACTCGTCGTGAAAAAAAGATTACTGAACATCATGGCAGCCATTTCGGGATCAATTTAATTTTTGCCTCTTTTTATTTCTCCCATAAAAATCAAGATCTTTTATTTTATATACATAAAGCAATTCTATTTAATATTTTAATTTGTTCTTGTCTCTCTGTAATTGTAAATAAATTTATCTAAATTACTGTTTCGTTTATTTTTTTTTCTCCTACTATCTGAAGCTTACGGCCATATCACTTTAAAACACCGTTTCTCGTACAATCACTGAAGTAAAGCAACATCGATGCTAGTCAATATCTAGATGGGTGACAACTTGGGAATAACAGGTGCTGTTATCTTGGGTGTGAGGGTCGGGTAATGGATAACGCCTGGGAATTGAAAATCGAGTTCCCATTCCAATCGTGTTTGTTACATTCAATTACGCACAAATACCATTGGGAAAGGTATGAATCTACCATTATCTCGCTCCCAGCTATGGTCATTAGTAGGACAGGTACCAATTAATCATTATCACCAAAATTATTCCTTACAATCTAAAAATATTATCTGGCTTTAAATAACCTGCAAAAGGTTGATAAGCCATCAAGGAAAAAAAACATTATATCACTCATTCTATCGCTATGTGTTTCCTTTAGTTTTGATTGATTGACTTGTTTTTTACGGCTTATCAACCCTTTGCAAGTTATTTAAATCCAGAAAATATTTATAGATTGTAAAAATGTTTGAGATAATAACGATTTGCTCATACAAGATTTACTAATTAACCCATGCCAGGTGGGAGAGGAGAAAGATTCTTACCTGTTCCAATGGATTTTGTGTGCAAGTAAATGAAGCAAACACAACTGAAATTAGAACTCGGCTCTCCAATTAACAATTCCGTTCCATATACCCACTGTACCAACCCCACATCCAAGCTTACAGCACCTGGTATCCTCAAGTGATCAACTGTTTACGTACTGACCAGACTCGACGTTTGTTAGCTTCGGTGATCGTATTGGTCAGTACTTAGATGGGTGAACGCTTGTGCATGCTAGCTTCTGTAAACTTAGATGTGCGGGTGGTGTAATAGATAAAGGCTCGAAAATGCTAATCGAAAAGCCGAGTTCCAATTCCCGTTACGTTAGTTATGATCATTTAATCGGAAATACCATTGGAAAAGGTTTAATCTTACTCTTCTTCTCCTGTCTATGGATTAATTAGTAAGAATTTTATTACTAAATCATTATTATCTCCCTTTAAAATAAAATTCTTAAACTCTAAAAATATTTTCTGTAAATGGCTGATAAGTCGTAAAAACGAATCAATCAAGCAATCCTCCCTTCTCTTCGTTTTGTCTCATTTTGTTGCCATAAGGTTTCACTTTCTTTCTGTCTTTCTCCAATTTCTTCCCTTGTTGTTTCATTTTGTTGCGGGAACGTTTCACGTTCTTTCTGGTTTTCTTTTCCCGTCTCCTCTCTTCTGCTTCACTTTACAGCCATTTTTTGCCTTCTTTGTCATTGTTGTATCGTCGAGGTGAACGATCCACAGAGAAGGAGTACTTAATATCCGATGGTCCCGTTTCGAAAGAATAATCGGAAAAAAAGGGAAAATTGAATGTCTTTGGCCAGATGTGAATGTGTCTCGTCAGTATTCTCATGATTTAGTGGCCGACTATTGTTGCTTGATAAAATTTCTGAACTTGGAATTGTTTTCGCCACCATTCTTTCTCCTGTTGTTCTTAATTTTTATTGAAAGCATGCCTCCCAAGCCCACTATTTGGTGAGGGCGGTGGATTGGCCGTTGATTCCCCCCCTCCCAGGTCGATGCTTGGAATTAAGGTAAGCTGTACATTCACTTGTTATCAGGAGGAAGGAAGCGGACTAACACTCGCTGCCACGTATGTTGGGGCATTCATTATGACACGACAATAAATCCGGATAACCTTATTTTCTTCAATTTCTTTTTAGAATAGACAATGGGACTTATACTAAGTTAAAACTTAACTTAATGTTGCGAAACGGTAAATGCAAGTGTCAGCCAGGACTCTTTGCAAATTACCTCCCCCTCTCATCGTTAACTCTTTTTGTTGTTGTTGTATATGTTATATGTAATAGGAGTAGGTAGGCTTTCCTACCACCCGATCCACACTCCTCCCCCTTCGCTTGGACACGAGTAGAGGCTTACGCCTTGTTTCTTGTTTAGGAAGGGATTTCCGGTACTCTCTCTCTCTCTCTCTCTCTCTCTCTCTCTGGTCTCTGTGTCTCCAGTTGCGTTGATCTATCCACTACTCTTCTCCTCATCCTTTCTTCTATCACTCCTATCTGATCTTGCTCCAAATTTTTCTGTAATCCCTTGCGTCCTAGTGGCTTTCCGCCTTGATTGAGGTGAAACGCTTAAAAAAAAAAAAATTTATTCATCACCAGTATGCGGTGCTAACGGATACATACAAAAAACACAGAATAATAAGTTACCAAACAATTAACAAGACAACTTACAAGGAATAAAGGAGGGTCAAATGTTGTATAGCCAAACAAAGATCAGTCCGAATATTAATCAGCTTAGTATCACTTATTAATCGACTGCTGAAGTCCTTAATCATAGACTATTTAAGGCTATGAGTCAGGCCATCTGTAGAGTATTAAAGGGGTATTAGTTTACTCTACAACAGTCATCCGTTTCATCTTTCCATCTTTCTCTTTCTTTTTTGTAGGGATAACGCTTCGATTTCTTATTTTATTTCTTTTTTTCCTTCATTTTTATTTTGTAGCCATAACCTTTCACTTTGAAACATTACACTTTCTTTTTTTCTTACCCTTCTATCCTCTTCTTTATGATTTATTTTGTTAAAATAACATTTGTCTTTTTTTTTTACACATCATTTTTTTCTATTTTATCTTCTTTTGTTGTTGTGTGATTGATCTGGAGGTTTTTTATGCTTATCAACCTTTTGCATGTTATTTAAAGCTAGAAAATATTTTTAGATTGTAAGAATTTTTCAGGGATAATGATTTTTTACTGATACACGTTCTACTAATCAACCCATAGCTGGGAGGAAAGAAATTCGTTATATTCACTTATGTGTAAATGCCATTGAGAAAAAGATGAATCCATTACTTTCCCCCAGCTATGGGTTACTTAGTTGATTGATCTGTTTTTTTTTATGCTTATCAACATTTTACAGGTTATTTAAAGATAGAAAGTATTTTTAGATTGTAAGAATTTTTCGGGGATAATGATTTTTACTGGTACAAATTCTACTAATTAACTCATAGCGGGGGGAAGTAATGGGTTCATACCTTTCCCAAGGGTATTTACGCGTAAGAACATATAACGAACCCGACAGAAATTAGAGTTCTGCTCTGTAATTTTCAATTCTGAGCCGTTATCCCGCACCTCCAATCTTACATTACATGATATTCCCAAACAGCCTTCCATATAAACCACACCAGACCAGACCACACCAGACCAGACCAGACCAACACCAGACCAGACCACACCAGACCACACCAGACCAACACCAGACCAGACCAACACCAGACCACACCAGACCAGACCACACCAGACTCGACGTTTCTTTTGTTGCAATAACTTTTCAGTTTCTGTGTTTCTTTCTTATAATGATTTAATTAAGATGTCGACATTCAGCACTACTTTAAATAAAAGTATTAGGAATGACAAATGCCATCAGTACAGGAAAGAGCGATCTACTGGACTTGAGGAACCTGTTTCCCGAAAACTTGTTTTAAGAGATAGATCTTATAAAGTTCAGCCAACAGCAATAGTGGTTGTTCGGTCAATGAATGCCGAGCGTTTCCTTATAAGGAAACGGCTAATATTACCTTTACTATTCGATCATTTTTCTTGCTTTTTTCAGTAACCGTATATTTGTTTATTTTTTCTTTTGTTATCTTCTTTCTCCTTCTCCTTATTATTATTATTATTATTAATTTTATTATTGTTGTTATTAATTTTATTATTTACCTGTTTCATTTATTTGTTTATTGAGTTCCAACATTTTTTCTATTCTTTCTTTGTAACAATGTTTTCTTTTCTGTTTTGTAATGATTTGTCAATGTATTTATTTACCCTATTGTTGGGAAAATATTATCTATCTATCTATCTATCTATCTATCTATCTATCTATGTCAAATCTCAGTCTATCTATCTATCTATCTATCTATCTATCTATCTATGTCTAATCTCAGTCTATCTATGTCTAACCTCAGTCTATCTCTCTATCTATCTATCTATCTATCTCTATCTATCTATCTATCTATCTATCTATCTATCTATCTATCTATCTATGTCAAAGCTCAGTCTATTTATCTATTTATCTATCTATGTCAAATCTCAGTCTATTTATCTATCTATCTATCTATCTATCTATCTATGTCTAATCTCAGTCTATCTATGTCTAACCTCAGTCTATCTCTCTCTCTATCTATCTATCTCTATCTATCTATCTATCTCTCTATCTATCTATCTATCTATCTATCTATCTATCTATGTCAAAGATCAGTCTATTTATCTATCTATCTATCTATGTCTAATCTCAGTCTATCTATGTCTAATCTCAGTCTATCTCTATCTATCTCTCTCTCTATCTATCCATATATCTATCTATCTATCTATCTATCTATCTATCTATCTATCTCTACCTCTTTCTATTTTTTTCTTATTTTGTTTCATTCTATGGCAATGGCTTTCTACAGTTGAAATCTTTCTGCCTATCCTTCCATATTTACTGTTATTGTTCAGTCTTATAACGATTACATTTCATTGTATTTCTTTAACATATTTTATTCGATTGGCATGGAGTTCGCCTGCATTGAAGGTCAGTTCGAGCGAAAACATAGGCCGTTCGATACGTCTTAGAATAACACGTTGCAAATGTGAGAAATATGACAACCTTGATAAGAAATACGATTTCAGTGATGACAGTCTAGAGTTGAGAAGAGTGTCAGTGATCCACCCTTGGCAAAGACTGTCCTGATACGGAAATCAGGTTAATGCAGGAAAATGGGTGTGAATGTGAAAACTTTTCCATTAAGGGAAGAGATTTTTTTTTTTATTTTAATCAAGATCATATTGCGCTAATGTCCCATGTATCTCGCATATCTACTTGGGGTTATTTGGGGAAATTCGAGAAGTAAGCTCCATGAGTTAACACGCGTAGAGGTTACACACTTACATGCAACCTCATGCACACAGATACAAACCCACAAAATATGTACGTTCATTTTAACACACACATACAAAAAACACACACCACATCAAATTAAAACACCGGTTCCCATAAGATCACCAAAGTTAAGAAACATTGAGCCTGGTCAGTATTTAGATAGGTGACCGCTTGGGAATACCAGGTGCTGTAAGCTTAAAAGTGCGCGTGGTGTATTAGATAAGGGCTCGGAATTATTAATCAGAGAGACGAGTTCCATTTCCTGTTTCGTTAGTTATATTTACTTATGCGCAAATACACTTGCGAAAGGTATGAATCCACCTCTTCGCCCCTAGCTATGGGTTAATTAGTAAGACTTGTATAACTAAACTATTATTATCTAAAAATTAAATATTACAATCTAAAATTTGTTTGGGCTTTTAATAACCTGCAATAGGTTGATAAGCCGTATAAAACAAATTAATCAATCAAAACATTCCTTTGTTTCTCTCTCATATATATATATATATATATATATATATATATATATATATATATATATATATATGAATACATATTCCTTTCTCTCTTCAAATTCTGATAATATTTTAGTGTTATGGTCCGGTTCCTTGTACTACGGTGATAGTCCAAGGTAGAACCAATAAAGAAGAACTCGAACACAGGTATGGAATAACACAGATATATTACAAACAGGAATATATACAGAGAACTAGAAGTGTTAGTATGAACAATCAGGTTTAGTAGAGAGAACAATGTAGTCTCGACCAGTATCACTATTCCAATGTCTTGCAGTAATTGTCTGAACGCGACTCTGTTTCGGACTGCCTCTGACTCGACTCTTGACTCGACTTGAACTACTGACTCGACTTGAACTACTGACTGACGATATTCAGTCACTCCCCCCCCCACGAGGGCGTCATGTGGCACAAGGCCTTTTTAACGTGGGATCTCCGAGCCCGTGGGCCCGGCCAAAAATATGTCCATTGAACCCGTATAAACGGGTTCAGGGTCGGTCTACCTACCCGAAAGAGAATCCGCCCTTCGGCGTAAACTCTTTCGGGTTCCTCCCCGCCCAAAGGCAGAGAGTTCAACCGATCAGCCGGTCGTCCGACATCGACTGCCGAACTACTAACTGACGATATTCAGTCCCACCCCCCACACTGGGGCAGCATGTGACACAAGGTCGGTTATTTATTGTGGGTTCTCCGAGCCCGTGGGCTCGGCCCCAAAATATGCCCATTGAACACGTATAAACGGGCTCAGGGCCGGTTTATCTCCCCGAACGAGACTCCGCCCCTCGGCTTAGCCTCGTTCGGGTTCCTCCCCGCCCAAAGGTAGAGAGTTCAACCGTTCAGTGTCGAACTACTGTCTGGCTCCTTGCCTACTCCTGAGGCGCAGTATTTATTAAGTATGGAATAGTCCATTATTATTATGGGTAAGATCCCATAACATTTAGATAAATAATTTGCATGCATGTCTAGGGTAAATTATTAGCTTATAATATTATATATTATATGAGGGGTAATCGGAAGGTTTTGCAACTGAAATCAGTCATTATCTATGTATAACGAGGAATCAGACAACTACGTTCGAATTCCAATTGAGTTTTTTTATATTCACTTTTATGCGAATACCCTTAGAAAAAATAAGAATCCATCTCTTATAACCTGGATCTATTGGGTAAATAGTGAGGCATGCTAGACTCTTTAGCTTTTCAACAAGTCCAGAAAGACATAACTGAATTCAAAACCTGAGGAGGTCTCTTTCTTCTCTTTGCGAAAAGAATGACTTGCTCTGCCTAAGACTTCACCTCTATAATCGGAAAATATGTATAGATAGTCTAAATATATCTCTCTAACTATTACTAGCAATTAAAGGATGTATTCAATAGACCCATAATTACGTATGACATAACAGCAATAGGTAAATTTTACTTTGGTAAATGCGATAGATGTAACCTATGCTTTGTAGAAAAATGATTTATTTAAAAAAAAATTAAAAAACACTAATTTACGAAACAAGAGAAATGAATTAATAATCAAATGTAGGCCTAAAAACAAATACCTGTCAAAATATGTCGAACCTGATTGATTTCAATTCAAGCCGATACCTTTCTTTTTGCTAATTCACTTCATTACTTTACTTCAGCACATTGTGACCGTGTTCCTGGTTAATTTTATTGAGTGTTCACTTCTTTTTTATTATTATTAGGATTTCTATTTGAATCTTTATTTACACGTGGTTGAGGTTATTATGCTTGTTTTTTCTTCGAGTATGTTTCGGATGGAGTCTGGTAGGTTTTGGTAAATAAAACATTCCGATAACTCTAGATCCATTTATTCAGTTAAAAGTAAAAAAAATAAAATCATCCTTGATAATGGCTAAAAGTATAGCCGAAAGCGCTTGGACTGGCAAGACATTTGTACAGCTTTTACACACTTTGTTTCCAGCAAAGAAAACACTTGTACGAACACAAGAAAAATCGTCTTTAACGAAACACACACACTCACACACATACACATCTAGCGCGCGCACACACACACACACATGCATGTATATTCATTTATATTTCTATGTGTGTGTATGCACATTGATCTATCAATTTATTTTTTTTTTCATGTGAATATTGTAAGCAGGGTGATATATAGATATGGTTTTGTATTTTTTGATATGTTGAAATATCCTTATATTACTATATAACTGCACTTTTGGATATGACATGATATTTGTGTTCAGATTTGTAATATTTTTATAATTAATTATATGCTCATACTTGTATTTGAATTATAATACTATTTTTTTAGTTGGATGTATATAAGTTGTGTGGATGTGTGTTTTTGCACATTTGTTTATAAATCGATAAATTTTTTGATGTTTTTCACATTTATTTATACTTATTTGTTTATTTTATATGTGGTAAAAATATAAAAATTTAAATTATACAATGGTTAGTTTTCAATCAGCACCTGAAGATTAAAATACTCATCGGATTTAATCCATTTCATATATGTTGTCATTGTTTACGTTAGGCTAAAATTCCAGAGCAGATATGATAGATCGAGAAAAATCGGCGAAAGTGCGTGTTTCAAAGTAGTAATTCGAGCTTTGCTAAACTGGGAGTTCTCTGTGGCTGAACGGTTATAGCACGTCAGGTTTAATAACGGTTCCGTATAGGGTACAGGTCCATGACTCATATATTCTACGAAATTTCTCGAACATTCACGCCGGTAAATATAATACCATTAAATGAAATAAAACGAAGCATTTACTCAAAAAAGTGTATGCATAAAAAGTATAAACTATATATATATATATATATATATATATATATATATATATATAAAAAATGACAGATATTTTGCATATATCAAAAACACTGGTTTTACAATGCGGAATTCAAAAATCGCTACAAAGCTTTTATCACGTGACTTTTAACGTTTAACTTTTGGAGAGAGCAGTCCAAACAGCTATGCAATATCTTAGGGTCTTGATATCAAATGTAATATAACAAATTGTCTCGATCTTTAGCTGCTTTGTCTAGAAAGCAACCTTGGGTCTGGAAGTTTAAAGAAAAAAACAACGAAGTTAAAGCTATATTATTTAAACAAGGTTCCTTTATTTTACTACAGGCTAACAATTAACACAATCAACAAAAAAAAAAAAATTCCTTATTACAAATGAAATACAGTTAAAAAAACCAAATTATTTAATGAGACACTTTTTCTGCTTATTGTTTGATAACTTCTTCACATCAGGTGAAATATTTGTCGATGACAGGAGCAAAACTTCATCCAGGTGGTCATCACCCAATCTTGTTCTCAAACGACTTTTAGTAGATTTCATTTTCGAAAAAACGTTCTTCACAAGCATATGTACTTCCAAATAATGATGCCGCCATCATTTTCGCATTATTTAATAGGCTTTTCTATTTTCCGCTTGTCAAAACATATTTCTTGTAGAAGTCAACAGTGAATTCGGAATTAAATTTTGATTTTAAAAATTCTCGCATTGTAAGTTAATTAATTCCAAAGGAATTTTTTTTTTTGAAACTTGCTCCACAAATTAATTACATAATTTAATGTCCAGGCATTAAACTGGCGGGCCAGACAAAAATCCTTGGCATGCCGGATTTAGCCCGGGGACCGGGGGTTGCCGATCCCTGGTTTAACCAATAACAGCTTTAAAAAAACACAAAAAACAATGCATCATGAAAACATTTCTAGAATTTTATTAATCTCACAAAAGTTGTCTCTGATGATTTGAGAAATTTCGAAAGCTTGAGCCATATTCCTTTTACGTTTTCTTCCGAAATAAAGTTTGACGGAATTTCCTCCTTGTTTGACAAAGCTTAATCATAATTTGGAAAAGACGATCATTACAATTAAGAGACATAGATATTTCTATCGTTTTCAATAGTATTTACCTTAAGGAAAATTTGCTGCCTAAACAGACAGAATATTTTTTTCTTCATCATTTAAAATATATACTTAAGTATTCAAGAAATTTCAATTTTGTTAAGCATTACACGAATGATGTATTTTTAAAACATTTCTTGATTTGATACAACATCCTGTCCTCTCAATTTATATTCGTAAACGTATAATTACATTATAGAATATTTTATTCGCAATATACTTTTAATATCACCGTATTTCGTTTTAAGTTATGCGTCTGTCATGGTAACGGAAATGCTGTTATTATTAGATTGGTTAGTTTTTAAGTGAATGTTCTAAATGTAGAAATAGTCATTCGAAATTTTTTTTGGTAATCTTTGTTTCATTTTTGTAATTATGTTTCTTGTCTTTTTTTAATTTCAGGTAAGTTTGTGCATTTCTTGGATTATCCAATGAGATATCAATCTCGGGCTGTGAAGATAATTTTCCATCACGTCTGTAAGTTTTCATTAATTCTATTTCTCAAGCTTTCGCTGTTATTTATTTTAAATTTTATGCGCTTGTGGAAGCGACATTCACTGGATTTCCTGTTCTCCACATTGGACAAGAAGATTTGACTGTCCAAGAGAAATCAGTCGTAACTCTTTGGTTTCTGCTCTCTTATTATCTACCTCATTACATTCCCTTTCTTTCTTTCTTTCTTTCTTTCTTTCTTTCTTTCTTTCTTTCTTTCTTTCTTTCTTTCTTTTGGACCATGTTCTTTCCTTCGTTCTTCCCTTTTTTCTTTCTTTCTTTTGGAGTGTGTTTTTTTTTTCTTTCTTTCTTTCGGCCTCTGTTCTTTCGTTCTCCTTTTTTCTTTCCTTTTTTCTTTCTTTCGAAATGTATTCTTTCTTTCTGTCGACCTGTTCTTTCTTTTTTCTTTTCTTTAT